ATTATTCAAGTACTCTTTGCCAACTTACACAGCTGAAAGTGAACACTTTTTTCGTAGCTGTTCTTACCAACCTCATCGCATTCGCCATTCTTTCGATCCTAACCAGCCTCGTAACCCCAACTGAGGTAGCAAATAAAATGGATGATGCTCCACCGCCGTCGAAGAAGAGCACCACACTCTCCGTGGACCGCGCTGCTTTCCTGCTGCTGCGTGTTAAGAAGGCATTCAAGAAGAAACGACAGCAGCGCAAGGAAAAACAGTAAGTTGCTATTTGCTAAGTATGTACATTAGACTGCATCACCAAAAAACAAATTCAAAATATTTTGGTGGACGTCTAAAAATATAATAGATTTTATAATTCCAATGGAAAAACAGTACCGTTTTTTTTTTGTATGGGGAGTGATGCAGTCTAATGTACATATATATGTATGCCCCGCCAATAATAATTACAAATCCGCCCCGTATTGACGAATTCTTTTTTTTAGTATTTAATTTAGGTAATTTTTTATGAAAATATAGTTTATTCTTTAAGAAAAACTGTATCATTCCAAATTTCAAACTTTGTGCAAGAACTAGAAAAATTCTGCAAAGTTTCATCTAAATGTCGAGCTTTTTAATACGATTTTTTCTTAATATTTTTAGTATGTTGTTTTAGAACCCAGTAGATAAATTTTAATATAATAAAGTGCGAGTGTGAAACTACGGAAAAGTTTTGCTGATTGTTGATATTTTGTTTTGCTGACAGTGTCACGTATTTTCTATGTTTTATACCAAAAAAAAAACCGTTTGCAATTAACAGTACACTAAATTTAATTTTTTCCGAAAGTGCTGTCAAACCATTTGAGCGTTGCCATGTGACCGGATTTTCTGCGTATTTGTGTAAAAGTATAAATATGTTAAAATCACAATTAATTGTAAATGTTTCCGGTAAAAGCGAACTTTATTTGCGCGCATTCACGAGACATCGCCTATCTGCATACGTGTACGTGGCTTACCGAAATCACAACATACCAAATCAGCGCCGGAGCGTGAGCTCGAAATTGTGCACGCCCAAATATGATAGACATTTTGTTTTATTATATTATATATTGTTTATAAATGAATTATATTTTTACAAATCATATGTTTTGAGTCATACGTTTTTGAGAAAAATACACCGTAGTAATTTTAAAATTTCAAAATTACATTTCTCGACTGAAAAATAAGCTATTCGAGCTAACTCGACGGCATTTAGCAATTAAGAAAAAGAAAAGTGTGCCTTAAAAAATAACGAAATGGCAAGTAACTCAAAGTCTGTAACTCTGCATTTCACAATTTTCAAAATTTTCCGTTTATCGCATATAAGTTTTGAAGCATTTAATTTTAAAAACTTTTTTAGAATGTATTGTATTCTACAAACAATTACGAATAATTTCATACCTTAGCAAGAGGTGTGCTTTCAGAATAAACTTACTTTTAAAGATAAAATATTGTGCGATTTTGAGCATAATTTTTATTCCAAAAACACCTTAATTGAAGGCACATTTGGAAAATACGTCGAAACGATCTAAATCTTTGTTTAACTGCTAGTCCTTATAAAATTACACATACTTGTGAAATGCTTCAAAAAATTTGTCTCTAGAAGTGTGTAAAAAACCCGATTTAGTACCTTTAATTATGCTCCTTCTTGTAGTCAAAATATTGCGTGGGTGGTATCAAATGAAATTTTTTTCGACAAAGGTTCTGATAGTTGCTCTTACTTAATTGGAACCTCTTAAATTCAATGGCGTCCCCAGTTTTGCCCGATTCTCTCCACTTTTGGAGATAGCGGTACTTGAAACTTTGCTTAAATTTGAACTATTTGATAAAAAAAAAACTCCCTAAGTTTTGAAGATATTTTACCAAAATTTTGCACACGCTTGTATTTTAACATTCACTTCACTATGTCATAAAATCATCGAAATCGGTTCACTCTCAAATCTAGCTCCCATACAACTGAATGTCCAGAGACGTTGTTTTGCGGTATAACTCCTCCAATTAAGGTAAACATTTAGTATAGGTTCACTTTAACATATATCACGCATAGAATATATTATTCAGATATGACATTAGAGTTATAGCGCAAAAACACCTATCTGAGTAATCAGTTGTATTGGAGCTATAAGTTAAAGTGCACCCATTTCGATAATTTTAAGGAATAATTAAGGTATTATTAAAAACCTGTTATGTGCAAAATTTTAGTAAAATAACTTCAAAACTGAGGGAGTTATTTATAAGATAGTTAAAATTTAATCAAAGTTTCAAATACCGTTATCTCGAAAACCGGAGCCAATCCGGTAAAACGGGGCCATTGCCATTGAATTTCGAACAGCCCAATTAAGCGAGTTCAACTTTCAAAATCTTTTCTTAAAATTTACAACTTGAACAATGTAATTTGAACCCAGCTTATTCTTTTGTTTTCTATTTATTTCATGTTTATTCCTCGTCTAACTTTTGAAGCACTTGATGAAAATGAATTACACTTATATTAATCGATTTATTAAGAGAGTACGAATAAAATGATATATAAAACATAGGTGTGCTCACAAATTTAAAAATAAAATTTTTTTTTTGGAGATTGTAGGTACTTATTTTTTAGATTTGTCCATATGTATATTGATACACTTATTCTGGTGCAGTGATTTTCGTTTTAAATTTAAAAGAAACAATTTGTTTTAAATGAAATTTTTCGTTGATTTTACTGTAACTAAAATTTTGGATAAGACGAAAACTTTGTGTTAACCAAAAACTTATGATTTTCTTTCAATTAACCGAGTGCTTAGGAAAGCCGATGCTTCAAAATATGTAGATAATAAACTTGTTTGTATTCTTCTTTTACGATTCATTTATTTTTATTGCCGTTTTTCCAAGTGATAGAATTTTCATCATCTTCAAGATGGATGACCCCTGTTTGGTAAACTCTAAAAAATCTGTTTAAAAATGCGACTATAAATCGAGTATATTTTTGTAAATTTTTTAAATTTTTTGGTAAATTTACACTATGAATATGTATTTTTCTCGTTTACACATTTTCGTGTGTAAAAATCCTTTTCGTTAGCGACTTTATACAATTCTGCGGGTGAAATCAAACAGCAGATGTGTATTTTGTAGCTTAAATACACCTTCGTCGGAAATTTACGCACACCACAGCAGCTAAATTACACTCTAAAAAGTCCGAAATTTAAACAAACTTTTGAATAATCGAGCATGTAATTTCGCGGATAATAAGGTAGGAAATCAGTAACCTACCTTGCAGGTAGGAGATTTACACACTTTTTTTTAGAGTGTACCCTTCCTGGTTATAGTTGAGCTTGTCTTATCTTTTTTAAATCATAATAAAAATACAACCGCTAAATAAATAAAGTAAACTCCCATTTTATCTCATTGATTCGATACTTTTTCTCATGCTTTAAGTCGAATGAAAAATATAGAGTTAAGCATGTTTTCCTCGCCTTCCACTTTTCGAAGAATTCTCCGGCGAAATCAAGCTGCGAAGTATACTTTGCTTTTAATTTCTCAAAATTGTGAGCAAGCACTGTTTGTTAATATCCATTTGAGTAAATACATATATTGCTTGGTCCGAAAGGACGTGCATGGCAGCAATTGCTTTTGCATACCAAAAAAGTGCAACAAATTTCCTTTTATTTAATAAATGATCAACTAACAATTAGATTACTGCGTTTCATTACGGTAGTATGACTTTACTAAGTTTACTTGATTTCAGCATTATTTGTTATAAAATATGCTTTTAGAGTTGAAATGCGAATTAAATTCGTCGATTTATTTATTAATTGCTCGTTTAAACTTGCATGCTTGTATACATGTATGTATATGAATATAGATATTTTTATTCGTTTAATTTCTAACAATTCCTTCAAATATTCAAATTCTCTAAGGACTTTAAACTTTTTCATTTCATTTCATTTCATTTCATTTATTTTTTTACCGTTCGATGTGAAATGTTGTTGCTGAATGGCCACAACAAAGTCTACCCGTCAGTCAGCCTGACTGCTTGTCTTCGTAGCCCATTTACTGAGCTGTTATTTTTCCACTTCATTGACTTTCTGGGGTTTTGCGCAGCATCTTTTCAACCGGCTTGCAGGCTTGCCAACCACGATATTCACCAACTTAGCATTTTAACGCACAATGCAACCAAAGGACAGGCGAGGATAAATTAAGATGGTGGCAGGAAAAGACAAAACATTCTATTAAAGTTCGATTTTTCGATTTCTATTCCTCTAGCAGAGGAACGCATTGCCTGTTCGCAAGTACATATATGTATAAACAACGTAAAGGAGGATTTCTGGGTTAGACTGAAGAACGGATGATCGGATACTTTAAGTCACTCGCGCGGCTTTGAATGGTAATAAAAAATCTGGCTTTTATGGTTTTATTTTTTTCGGTATTGAGCACGATGTCAAAAGGAGGGTTTTGTTTGGTAAAAATTCTGTGATTTTCGGTGGCCGATTTCAACATCAACTTGCATTTGTGGACTATTTTTGAAAAATTGCTAGTGGTTTCCATAACTTTTAGACCAGGTTGATTGTGGCCGCAGGCTCCGGTCATGTCGACGCCAGTGAACATGTCGAAGTGAATTGAGTTGAGTTGAGTTAAGATGAAGTGAATTGAAGTGAAGTGAGTTTCCGTTGAAACACAATGCCACGAACGTCGAATTTTCGCCCAGTAGAGCGGCCACGTCAGCCACTTTCGCCCAAAAATTTCGCTAAGTAAAACACAACTACGGCGACAACGAATTGAGCTACTTATGGCAAGGTACAATTAAAATTTTTACCAACAACAAGATTATTAATTTTTAACAAAAACTAATACATTATTTTTTAATTTCGATTTAAAAACCTGAGAATTTTTAGCATATGGCCATAATGGATCGTATTTTGCAGCTGCCGCCGGCAGCGTCGCGAATAGTCGTCGGCCGAAATTCGTCGTTTGCTTTGGTGGTGCGCATTCTCATATACGTCAGTGTGTTTGAATTTTTACAGCGAATATTAGTGGCGAAGAATTCAACGGCATTGTGTTTCAACGGTAAGGTGAGTTAAGTGGGGAAGAGTTGAACAAAGCACCATGCATAACATCTTTACTTTTATTTTAACCTTAACCTTTATCTTTCTTCTTCTACATACTCAACTTTACCCTCTTTCTTGCATAATTCTGTGCACTTGACAAATTGTCACGCTTGACAAAAATTTAGTGAAATACAGACAAATCTTAGCGGCATAGTTT